ACTTTCAACTGAACATGTTAACGTTCATCATAATATGTTAACTTGTCAGATGTACATGTTAATTTATTCATCTATAACATCTTTGAGGACTTTTCTTGAAGGTCTGAAATAAATCTCAAATGGAGAGACAAGAGAAGGAACTTGCTATGATTAATCCACATTTTGAAGAACTTAAATGGTTTTTTCCATGCTTTTCCTCTTCATAAATTGATACCAAAGCAGGAGTGGTGTGTAATGATTAGAGAGACTTAATTTAAAAGTTATTGTCTGCACTAAAAATGTGGCTTAAAGCCCTTTATTTTTTCACGATATGCTTACTCAGATGAACATGTTTTATTTTAACTGTACACGTTGACTTTCAAATTCTATAGACTTTAAAGTGAACATGTTAACTGTCAGCTATATGTGTTAACTTTCATCTGCATATGTTAACTTTATTATGAACATGTTATATTTCAGCTCTCCACGCTAACTATCAGTTGAATATGTTAACTTTCATCATAATATGATGAAAGTTAACATGTTCAGCTGAGAGTTAACATGTTACAAAGCAAGTTTATATATTATGGTGAAAGTTAACATATAATAGTGAATGTTAACATATTATGATGAAAGTTAACATGTTCAGCTAAAAGTTAACATGTTCAACTAAAACTTAACATGTTACGAAGAAAGTTAACATATTATGGTAAAAATTAACATGTTACGAATAAAGTTAACATGTTCAACTGAAAAGTTAACATGTTATGAGGAGAGTTAACATGTTATGAGATTTAATAGTGTATCGTAACTTGAAGATTATGTACATAATCTGTATATATTATGTACACAATAACCATAAGATTATGTACATATTATGTACCATAATATTCATGTTTTGATACACATAATTTATATATAATCTTTAGTTTATTATGCACATCAAGTTCTATTTGAATGAACTTGTACATATTTACATGATAGCCAAAATACATTTCACAAACAATCGCAATAACCAAAATTGATCACTAGATAGACAGAATATATTTCATTAATTTTTTATCTAAGTACAACCAAACCATAAGAACACATAGTATAATCAACTGAATAATGAAACAAGATACGTTACAAGCAATTCTGAAGAAACTACACATGTATAAAGAGTACACATAGTATAACCAACTGAACAATCAAACATGACACGTTACAAGCAATTCTTGAGAAACTACACAAGAATAAAGAGTACAACCAGTCCCATTATAAAATTTAACATCTACTTCATCTTTTCTTCTGTAAGCTCACCCATCAAATTCATTTCTTCTCCTCATTTTCACAACCTCATCCAAGCAATAACAAGCTTCATGTTCTTGTTTCTTCAACTTAAATTCTTGTTCTTCTCTCATAAGTAGAAATAATTGAGTTTCCACACTATACACGGGGTTGTCAAACCACTCCCGAAATCTACAACCATCATTCTGAAATTATTCACAAAAATAAAATTAAAATCAAGTTAAATCATGAATCATAAATCACAACTACTTGAGCAAAAATAATAATAAATTCAAGATTACTTACATGAGGATTTTTATTAGTTAAAGGTAAAAAATCTCAAAGAAAAAGTTAGATACTGCATCACCAGAATAGTTAGAGGTAAAAAAATCTTATTAGTATGGGCAAACAGAATAGTTAGATGCTGCATCACCAGAAATAAACCCATCAAAGAAAAAGTCATAGCCATTGATCCAAGGTAAAATTTACTGACACTATCAATGCCAAACAACTAAAATACAAATAAACCAAACATAAAGATATATACTCAAACAACAAACTTTTTTTTATTAGCTTCTTATTAATATAAGGTTTTTTTCCAAGAACTCATACTAATGGGTGTTCTGTCCATTTTCAACACCAAGGCTATACAAAACACCGGCATATTTCTCAGTGTTTCCATTAAAGAACCTCTCCTTCAGCTTCCTAAATGTGCAAGAAGTCAGCAAGCTATCACTCCCGGCTTGGTGGCAAATCCCCACCCTCTCCACATCAAGCAACTCGGCAAGCTTATTAAGTCCTCCATGCAAACTGTTGCAGAACGTCATCAAATGCTTTATATCATAAATCGTCGGGAAATAAACCTTGATCAGCGTAAAGAGCCCAGCTTGCGAATCCGGTCAGAAAAATGTCATTAATAATGTTTTAAACTAGACAAGGATAAGACAATGTTGTTTGATTGTTTTTTTCACTTAAATGATACAACATTCTGTTTACTTTAAGAGAAAGAAGAAATGAGAACTAAATATCTATGATTTAAGGATACAGCTTGAAAAAAGAAAGAAATTTTGGAAGGCTAGGTCTATTCTCAATCGAATACATTTTCATGTAAAGCAAAAATCATACCATAACATCAGCAGTATAAAGCAAGCTACATAGTTCAACATTAAGAGTTAAATATATGTTTATGAAACTCAGAAGACACAGATTGCATAAACAAATGGTTAATATGTGCAAGAAGAGAGAATACCATTCAGTTCGAGGTCACTGTTATGTTTATACTATGAAGTCTTAATAAAAGTTACAATACTAACAAATCCCAGTAGCAAATTTATCATTTTTTGACTTAACTCGTGATGAGATAACAAAACTTTTATGCCTATTCCTTCAGCTACAGCAACAACAAAGCCTTTATTCCAGGTTTCTGGATAACTACATGAATCATATTCTTCCTTATAAATATGTTAAGGGCTATAATCTACATCCAATCCTCTTTCCTTTCTTCACAACAACAACAACAACAACAAAAGCCCATATCCAAAATATAACATTTTGGGATCAGCTACATGAATCACAACAACAACAACAACAAAAGCCCATATCCAAAATATAACATTTTGGGATCAGCTACATGAATCATATATGCTCCATTAATTCCAACTATTGCTCCAAAATATAACATTTTGGGATCAGCTACATGAATCATATATGCTCCATTAATTCCAACTATTGCCACACCCTTCCTAATTGCATTCAATCAAGCCCTCTTCTGCTTATCTCTAACCCTCCTTATCCCGTTAACTATACTAGTGGCCTCTGCACATGGCCTCTGTTAAGTTTATTCCATTGTGCTTAAATTGTATAACAAAACATAAATTTGCACATGGCCTCTGTTAAGTTTATTCCATTGTGCTTAAATTGTATAACAAAACATAAATTTATTACTAGTTTATTCAACTACCCAACATCCCATAAACTGTTCTCCATTCCCCAAACTCAAAATCCACCCAACAAACACAAGTTTTAAAATCGTAAACTCGTGATAAGGAACTTACACCAAGGGCACTTGGCCTTATCAACAATACTCTCAAGCTTATCATAAACAACCTTACTATCCACCAGAAACCTCAGATACCCTTCGATCATCGGCTCCCACTTTGCGATCGGAGCAGAGTTCGACTCCTTCTCTCATTCCTTAGCCTGATCTTCAGTTTATTATAAACATCAGGTTTGAGCCTGAGAAGAGAGGAAAGAGAGCCTGAGAAGAGAGAGAGGGGGGACTGGTAGTTTTTGGGTAATGGGTTAAGGGTAATTTTGGATTTTGGAAAAAAATTTCTCACTGTGATGTGTTGAAAAGGCAAACAGGGGCTGAAACACAAGTACTTTATGTATTGGAGGCTTTGTCACCCAAAAAATAATACGGGGGGCCTAGTCACAACAGATTTTTTATTTTGGGGCCTTAAAACATTTTCCCCTAAAAGAAAACTTTAAAAAGTGGAACAAAACATACATAAAAGAGAAGTTAACATATTGAAAGAACTTTGAAGAGAACTGACCAAGAAGTGGAATAGAACACACAATATTCTATATATATTTTCTACATTTAGGATCACATAAAAATAATAATAAATGAAATGACATGAGAACATGTAGTATAATATCAATAAATTTGAATATCAAAATTTTCCCACAAAAAAGTTCCCCGCCTATCAAAATGGAAGAGATTGAATTAGAATTGAGGTTGAAATTGTTAAATTTCAGTTAAAATAAGATTAAATGTTAATGGATTCCTTTAATGCAAATCAGTTCAACGAGCAGAGATCTAGGTAGTTTATTAATATTATATTATTCATTTTTTTTAGGGAGAGGGAGTGATTTGTGCTTGGAGGTGGACTAAAATAGATTGAGAGAAGATATATTGGGAGATAATGTGTAATGGAGGCAGTGTAATGGTCTTGGGGCCCACTTTATAATGCTGTATGATGAACAGTGATTGGAAGCTTGCAGTGTAACGGGACTGGGGTCCATTTTGAATTCCAACAATGATTCTTTGTTTTCTCGTTCAAGTGTAGAGGAGTAGATTAGTCACTTAATTGTCTTTAATATTTTGACAGTAGTCCTTCAAATCATTGAACTTGCTACTAGGCCCCTTGTCAAAGAACTGATCCTTAAGCAACTTCAACTTCAAAATTCCAGGAATATCTACCAAAATTACGACGACCCCAGAGATGCTATAACGCAAATGGACAGTTGATACAAATTAATAAATCACAAGCTTATAACCGTATATATGCTTCTCAATAAAATCAAATACCGACGGTGTACAATACTCTCGTCAGCATAGCAACACAGATATTTTAACTTCCTGACGTTTCTACATTTTCTTCCAACTACAACACCATCTAAAAGAAAAGGATTGGATGATTTCAATGTTAAGAGTCCGAGGCACGGAAACGAACATAAAATCATTCACTTGGGAGGACACCAAACAACTCTGCAACATTAGATGATTTCTCACAATGTAAATCGATCAGTCATAAAGTTATTTAACTTGATCATATTCAATACCTAAAATCATTTATCTACAAGAGTGAACCTATAAGCCGTACAAGTTTCGTCATACTTCAATATCTGAACCGATGTGATCAATCCAGCCAAAAAATGTCTATTTATTACAGGCCTAAATCCATAAGCTGTACAAGTTTCACTGTACTTCAGTATCAAAAATTGAATCTGATCACTCCAACCGAAAATGTCATTGCAACCACTCTATTAGATTAATAAGGTATACAAGTTTCAATCGAACTTCAATATCAAAACTGAATGTGGTCATCTTCAAATTAAAAATGAATGTGACCATTCCAACTGAAAATATCATCGCAACCCTCGTTGCGAGATGCCACTATATCTTCTATGGGAACTAGGTCTATAAGCTGTACAAGTTTCATCATATTTCAATATCAAAATTGAATGTGTTCAATCCAGCCGAAAATGTCATTGCAACCCCCATCCCTTGATGCTGTTCTACTAAATCCATAAGCTGTACAAGTTTCATCATACTCAACTGTCAAAATCCAACCGAAATTTGTGCCACTCTATCTTCTGCTAACCTAAATCTATAAGCTGTACACTCCTTATCTTTACATTCTGCAATCCATGACACATACAGTGCCATTAGAGGAACATGCTGCTATCTTGTTACCCTCCTTATTCCAGCAAACTTGCAAAATTTCACCCCCTCCCCTGTATGTGTTTACAAGCTGCCCTTCTTTGACAGACCATATGTTCACGCACTTATCAGATGATGACCCACTCGCCAAAAACTGTCCATTTGGACTAAATTCCACAGAACATACAGGTTCTTCCCTGCCAATCGAACATTGAGATGTTAAATGAAAGCGGGCAAGGAGACAACAGTTATAACGAAATAAAATCCATATCGCCTAAAATGTTACACGTAGCATTTAGACATAATGGATGAGATGGTAATAAAGAAGTGTCAAAATATAGAAGTGAATATCACTATCGAAGAGGATTAACCTTAGTATAGGTTGTGGTGTGGAAGAAGGCAAAGTTTCGAAGCAAAGAATTAGATCCCCCTATTACGTGAGCGTAACACTTGCAATGTTTTTATTGTTTGTATCTTAAAAGTTCATCAAAAATATTACCAAAAACATACAAATTAAGAGGATAAAGTTAAGTAGATGTAATCCTAGAAAATCTTGTCCTAGCAAAAATATAAGACATTATTGGAATTTGAGCTTTTATTTCGTTCTGGCCCCTATCCATATATTTGTAAGTTGTAAGTTGTAACCACTTATAAAGACCATTGACTGGTTATAAAGCACAAAAACTTCATGAAGGTGTAAAATGAGAGATTAGGATTCTTCAGTTGCCTCATGTTTTGTGTTGTACTCCTTAACACTCAGAGGACCTCATGCGTGTGCATCGGGACAATTTAATAAATGATGCCTTAATGGACATCTCAATTGTACCATTATAAAGAAAAAATACCAGTGATCTAAAAAAATAATGTTAATAACTCAAGAATTCATTTCTTACAAGGAATGGACTTCAAATCTTTCAGACTGGAGAACTAAAAGAATCATTTAACAAAGAAAAGCTTAAAATAGGAATCAAATAATCGAGGAATGTATCTATTTCTGGTTGTTTTCAGTACCTGTGACCTTTTAGGTTGCACACAAGTCTGCCCAGCTCAGCATCCCACAGTTTGACAAAAGAGTCGGAGGATGCACTGAATGGATGCAAATACCAAAATCAAATAATATGTTAGTAGTCCTACAAGATATAAATAGAAGAGAATACACAATCAGGCTAAATAAAAACTTCTGGAGCATTTTTTATCAAATTATTGCCACATTATTACCATGTTGTCTATATAAAAAAAATTATCACTACATGCATATCCTCTCATTCAGGATATAATATAAGCATATAGCATACAACTCCTGAAAGCAATCAGATGGGTGATCATGAAATAAAACATTTACCTTGCCAATAATAATTGCTGACTGGGGTTATTTGTGCCTGGGCCAGTGGGGCTCCATCTAATGGTAGACACCGCCTGATAAATATCCAAAGAAAAAACATGTTTACCGAAACAGAAGATTACATGAAGGTGCTAGCGAAAAGTGTCAAACCCCTTGATGCTCCCTGAAGTCGTGCAAACATTTATCCTGCTTAAGACTCCAGATCTGTTTTTTAAGAAAAAAAATTGTAAGTTGTACAATTTGATGTCATGTAGTAGAATATACTACAGGATTATAAGTATATGAATTAGCTGTGAGAAATCAGAAAGATAAAGGTATTCAATGGTAGAATGATGAACGATGCGTTGAGTGACATCAAAAATCAATGAAGAGGACGCCATTTTTGAGAGTGAAGCCAATATTTTGTAAAGAATATGAATCAAATGAAAGTGGTGGAAAGTGTTATTCACCTCTTTAGCAAACCACTGTGTCAGAATCATCCCTACTAGTTCAGATTTTGCAGAAAAAAAAGGAAAGAATAGTAAAAAAGGGGTTTCATGTCCAAACTGAAAGACGAGAGTGGAGAACTGGGGCTTATAAATTTTTCCCAAATTTCAAACTTTCTACCAAAAAAGAGAGAAAAATTAGAAACAACATACTTTCCTTATCAATTTCCTTCAAAACAAATCGACTTTAGCATTTCGAACAATAGTGAATTCTTACAATGTCAGAATTCTAATTTCCAGGGAAAAACAGGCACTTTGATTGGTTTGATGGTTAAATAAAGTTGAGGATTCACACGGTCATGATCGAATAGTTATGACAAGGTTTAACAGTTAATTTGGCATGATAATTTTCTGTTGTACTTGAGAGCGGCTAATTGAATGGGTTGTGTAGATGTAGAAACCCTAGAGAGTTTGTTAGCTCTCTCTTGGATGTTATTTACAGTTTTTAAAGAAATAAACGACTTTGTCCCTAACTAATGTGGGACTAAACAACAATGAATAACTACTCTCTACTCTCTCAACACTCCTCTCAAGCTAAGCATACATATCGTACATGCCCAGCTTATTACAAATAAAATTCACTCGTATTCTCTCAAGAGGTTTAGTGAGAATATCTGCAAGTTGATCGTCTGATGGTATGTGCTTGGCTCTAATGATTCTCTTCTCCATCTTCTCACGAATCAAGTGACAATCAATTTTCATGTGTTTTGTCCTCTCATGAAACACCGGGTTCTCAACTATGTAAATGGCGGCCTTGTTAACTCTATACAAGCTCAAGGGATACTCTGGAGGATAACCAATCTCTGTTAATATATCTCGAACTCAGATCGGCTCGCAAGTCAAATTCTTCATGGCTCAGTACTCAGACTCAGCTTTAGATCGAGAGACTACACTCTGTTTTTTACTCTTCCATAATATGAAAATTCCTCCAAGAAACACACAATACCCAGTAGTTGACCGTCTATCCTCAGGAGATCTTGCCCAATCTGAATCTGAGAATCCTGCAACTTTCGTGTGACCGCTATCGGAATAAAGTACTCATTTTCCTAGAGTTTTCTCGAGATACGTAAGAATTCTCTTCACAGCTTTCATATAAGATTTCCTAGGTACCGAGGGAAACTGACTGACTATACTAACAAAAAATACAATATCCGGTCTCGTGACTGTTAGGTAGTTTAGTTTCCAAGTTTCATTTATTATTCAATATCTTCCAGTAACTCTCCCTGAGTTGGTAGTTATTTGATCTTGTTATCCATAAATGAGTCAATGCCCTTGCATTCTAACATCCCAGCATTTAACAATATATCAAGTATATATTTTCTATGATATAAGAGAATTTCATTCTTCGATCTAGCTACCTCGATACCAAAAAAATATTTTAAGGATCCAAGTTCCTTGGTTTGAAATTGTTGTTGTAGATACTTCTTCAAATGACTAATGCTATGTGCATCGTATCGCCAGTGATCACAATGTCATTAACATATACAACCAAAAGGATTCGCTTCCTACCATGAAATCTCTGAAAAACCGAATGATCTTTCTAAGCTCAATGAAGACCAAAGGGCTGGAAAACTGTTGCAAAACGTCCGAACTAAGCCCTCGGAGATTGTTTCAAACCGTAGAGAGATTTTTTTCTGCAAACCTTGCCACACTCTTCCTGAGTAACAAAACCCGGTGGTTGCTCCATATAGACATTATCATCAAGAATGCCATTAAGGAATGCATTATTAACGTCTAACTAATGTAGTGGCTAGTGATAGCAAGCAATGAGCGAAATAAAAATGCGGACATGTGTCATTTTAGCTAAAGGAGACAATGTATTGATATAATCAAGGCTATAGATCTGTGAATACCCCTTCGCAACTAGCGAAACTTCGAGACGAGCTAAAGAGTCATCTGGATTTACTTTGACAACATAAACCCATTTGCAGCCAACCGTTTTCTTCCATGACGGTAGGAAAATTAGATCTCAAGTCTCATTTCTCTCTAAGGCCGTCATTTCTTATTGCATTGTATCTGTCCAATTTGGATTAGATAGAGCTTCTGACAAATTCTTGGAAGTCGAGTGAAAACCTAAAGAAGATATGAACGAGTAATATGATAGAGTTAACGAAGCGTTAGAGACATAGTGTGTAAGAGGATACTAAGAACTTCAAGAAAAAGATCTATTATCCTTTCAGAGGGCAATGGGAAGATCATCAGTAGTCTGAGTACTTGGTTGTACGAGCACATTTTGACTTGTTAGCATATTAGGCTCTTGGGTAGATTTAGACGACAGCTCAGGTTGTGAAGCAATCCATCTTGTATAAACCTGAACTGGATCTGCAAATTTGGATAGTAAATCAGTCTATACAACAATCTTGGAATGAACATTGTCACTGGTTTTCCGAACAAGAAGGTAGTCATAATCATCAAGAGAGTCTAAGGATTTATCAAAGCCAACATGTCCTAGTTTGTTCTCAAAGAAGGCAGCATCAGCTGAAGCAATATATCGATTCAAAGATGGACAATAACATCTGTACCTTTTTTGAATATCCAAGAAAAATACCCTTAAGAGATTTCAAATCTAATTTCGTCCATTGAGGACTATGATTGTGAATAAAGTATAGACCCAAAGATCTTAGGAGGTACTGTTTTAAAAAACCTCCACCTTGTCCATCCAGATATACACCTAGACCTAAGCGGTACCTACGCCGCCTAACTAACAACCGGTGCCTAGACGGTACCTAGGTTATCCACTTAGGTCTTGGGAGTATTTAGAGGAGCATTATTTGTTTATGTGGACTGCACCTTTTAGGCCTTGATTGTAATTTTTTCCACATCCTCCAACCTCCTTTAAATTTCTTTAACCTTCAAATATGAACATCTCCACTACCTCCTCCGACCTTCAGCAGAACCTTCTCGACCACCACTTAAATGAAGAAAGAAATTCGTCTAAACATCAGTCCTGCACCTAAGCTTTCTATAACATTGATATTTACTATTAATTAATATAATTAAAAAATAAAAAATAAAATCTCCTAGACTCTAAGCGTCGGGTCCAATGCCTAGGCCTCCTAGCGTTTTTCCATAACATTGTTAGTTACTATTTTGGCTATTTAGTACTTAAGTATGTATAGCTTATTATGGATCTAATATTGCTATCTTTTTTTTATAAATTTATATGAATTTAATACATATTTTTATCAATTATTATAATTAAATAATTTAAAAAATAACCAAATACCTAAGCGCTGGCCCAAACGCCTAGTCTACCTAGTACCTTTTGTAACATTATTAGTTATTAAATTTATATGAAAGCGTCTAGGAACTAGGCGCTAGCCCAAACGTCTAGTCCGCCTAACACCTTTTGTAACATTGTTAGCAGATAAATGAAAAACATCTTCAGCCGAATGTAAAAGAGAGATCAGAATTTTATTTTGTAAGACAGATGAGGGTAGTCTATTGATTAGGTAGCAGGATGTCAAAATGATATCGCCCCAAAAATATTTTGGAACTTGACGATGGAATAATAAGGTTCTAGCAATTTCTTGCAAGTGTATGTATTTGCGCTCAACAACCCTATTTTGTAGAGGGTGTGTAAGTAAAAGAAGACTGATGTAAAATTTTATTTTCTTCCAAATATTTTATGAAAGAGCTTTTAAAATATTCCTTAGCGTTATCTGTTTTTAAAGTTTTGATGGTACTATAAAATTGATTTTTAACCTTAGCACTGAAAAATTTTAAAATAGAGAACACTTCAGAACGACTTTTCAGCAAGTAAATCCAAATCATGCGAGAAACGTCATCCACAAAACTAACAAAATATTGAAAATCGAGTTTGAATGGAACAAAATAAGGACCACATACGTCAAAATGTACTAAATCAAAAGGATTACTAACCCGCTTATTGAAGCGACTCGGGTAAGACACCCTTTGGTGTTTTTCGAGTTGACATAACTCACACTCTAAGGACTCGACATGATTTAAATCTAAAATCAACGTTTTAAGAATTGAAAGAGGGGGATGACTAAGCCGACAATGTGTTTCAAAGGCTAATGTGGAACTAATACATGCCACTTGGGAAGAGGCAAAGTTCAGTTCGTACAAGCCATTCAGCTCACATCTAGTGTCAATCGTCTTCCTCGTCCCAAGTGCCTAAAAAATACAATGTGTAAGGAAAAATATTACCATGCAGTTTAATGTTTTAGTAATTTTACTGACAGATAAGAGATTAAACAAGAAAAGAGAAAGATATAGCACATATGAAAGTGGAATAGGATTAATATTGGTAGATCGAACACGCTCCACATGTGTGGTGGATTCATTAGCCAATACTACTAAAGGAAAGGAGGTGGTAGGTGTATAGGAGGATAATATACCTTGGTTCTCATTCATATGATCAGTTGCTCCTGAATCTATAACCCAAATATAAGACGATGACGATGTAAGGCAAGCAGTTGGTTTACCTGTCTGGACAAGCGTAGCCGTAGTAAGAGAGGATTATGTATTCTTCAATTGCTGAAATAATTGGACCTGAAATCGCTCAAGCTGGCCACAAATGTCTTCATTCATGGGACTCTCCTGTGCAGCCGCATGTGTACTCCGATGTTGTTCTCTCTGTAGCTGAGAATAATGAAATTTCATGTGACCCGATTTCTTACAATAATGTCAATAGATAAAGAGAGACCAGATGAACCCTCCCCTACAACTGCTCATGAACTATCATCTCGTCCTCCACGTGCTCTAAAGCGTCCTCCACGTCTACCAAAACGACCTCAACCACGACCACCCCCTCGACTAGTTGTCTATCTACTCTATATGGCGAAAGCAAGCCTGTTTGTAGACTATGCGGCAGTACTTGCTAGCGTAGCTGGCACTGCTGATCTCAAAAAGCAATGCCTCTGCTAAAAAACGTATAGCAGAGCTCCTAATAACCTGTGGTCTTGTTGAATTATAAGATCGTGGAAGAGAACCAAAAAGCATGAAAACTACTAGTTAATCCTACTAGTCTTGCATCTTCTGAATATCCCCCGTAATGGGCCTCAATATCCCCCGTAGTGGAAGAGAACCAAGAAACGTGAAAATCTGTCGCAGCTCCTCTGTGAGGCGATTAAAATTACCATAATGTACCTCAAAAGTCTAACTATGCTCGTCCATCTTGGTCCAAAATAACTCCTGAATGACATCATACGCCCAATTGGCGGGTCCACCGTCTGAGTACAATTGTTCTAAGAACTTCCACACTTATTTCCCTATATTACAGTGAATTGCTAGCTTAAGAATCGGTTGTTCCATGGTGCTCTAAATTTGATGAAGTAGACTAGTATCATCCTGTTTCCAAGAGGCAGTAGTTGGTACGGGAAGATCATCTGTAAGATGATGATCCTTTCTCCGTCCTAAAATATAAACTTGAATCAGTTTCTTCCAAAGTAGGTAATTAGACCATTCAATCTTTAGTCAGTGATCCTGCTAGATAGCACCTCCTTGTGTGTCTTCATCTTAACTCTCTCATCAATCGAAATAGCAGAAGTACCAGAGGACGCCATCAACACTAGTAATCTCCCGACAATTAACTATTAACTTCACTCTACAACAAATTAATTTTCAATAATCAAATCATCAACAAGTGATCACCACAAATAAGTAATTCACTAAGTAAAACTAATCTGCAAAGTTAGTTTCTTCGATAGAACAACTTATCGCTTATCTCAAAGAGATTGTTAATGACTGATTGTACATAGAGCTAAATTATTAGTTGAAGATCTATGAAGATCTTGTTGGTAAGCTAAATGATTAGCTGAAGATATATAAAGATCTAGTTCAAAAGCCAAAAATTAGTTGAAGATCTATGAATGTATAGTTTGTAAGCCAAATGATTAACTGAAGATCTATGAAGATCTAGTTTATAAGCTAAATAATTAGTTGAATATCTATGAAGTTCTAGTTTGTAAGTCAAAGAATTAAATGAAGATCAAAGTGGCGCAACAAATAAACAATATTGATGGATGAACAGTGTCTTTTGAATGAATATTGCCTGATGAACAGTATCTGCGGATGAACTATGTCGGCGAGGTTTGATGTTGGTGGGTGACGGCTAGGGTTTGAGAGGGGTAGAGGGTGGTGACTAGGTTTTGATTGGATGGTGGCTAGGTTTTGGAAAATTAAAGAGAGGAAAGAGGGTGGTCTGATACGATGTAAATGTACAAACCCTAGAGAGTTTATTAGCTCTCTCTCTTAGATATTATTTGTAGGGTTTAAAGAAATAAAGGTGTTTGTCCCTAACTAATGTAGGATAAACAACAAGGAATAACTACTCTCTCAACAGGTTGCAATAATCAAAAAGAGGAGTGTATGTGACCTCTGCTTTAGATAAAGCTAGGAGCAAAAGAAAGGGCCACTAGTTTCTAAGTAATTATAACTAACAAAGATATGCAAAATGATGATGTACATATATTAATTTTCCTTTCAAATCTTACCTTTGCTGTTTTATCATCTGAGCATGAAGCCAGAAATGAACCATTTGAATCCCATTTTATACAATTAACAGAATCCTGAAACCACAACAGAAAGGGATACACTATCAGTAATTGGCTGGACAAATTTGTGGTAGTAGACAAACCCATATCTCATAGCTGTCTAAGCATTTTGATCAGATGAAAATATTTGAGGTTCATGAAATGATAAGATATTCCTGCAAAATTACACTAACCTCTTGAAGTTACCATTAAATAAAATAAGAAAATTTAATTATTGTAAACTATTATCAAGTATCAATGAATTGGTATCTCATTCTCTGATATTAGTGAGTGATGCCTTGATGTGTTCTTAATAATTTGCAGCTAATGCAACAAAACACACCATGACCCAACCATGAGTTTAGATCGTAGAAACACACCATGCTTTGCAATTTGGAACTAGGACTACAAACAACATTACCCCAAAATTTACCCCGGCCTCCATGACCTTAAATGAAAATATAATTAGAACGTGAATATGCTACCAATAGATATTTGAGTGTATACGCACAAACTGAAACTGCAGGGTGAACACAATTTCAGAAAAGCTTTTTACCATGGGCTTAATAGGTATATTAGTAAAAAAGTAGCAGAAATCATGAATTGCATTATAGGAAAAGTACCATAGATTTAGTACACCACCATAAAATTTGATCAGTTTCCCTGTAGCATGTTGCTCTATGGCTCACACCAATGTCAGATGAAGGCTTAAATTCAGATGTAGTAGATTGAGTAAATAATGTAAAAAATCACACATAAATGTGAGGATAATGTAAACACGACTTTAAAAATGAAGAGATACTTTCTCCATACTCTAAGAACGTCTGACCTAACAGTATTCAAGTATTCTCTGGTGACTGTAGAACCAAGAGGGAGCTCTATGGCATCTGATTATGAGTGAATTTGCAAGCATTCTTATTTTATAAGATAGATGTGTCATCAGCAACCATCCTGAATCACTAATATGAATCCAAGTCGTACGAATTTAGGGTTCATATAAATCCTACTTCACTTGACAATTTCTTTTTTTTCCCCTTCTGAGAGGACAGTAACTTTATTAACTATTAATGTTTTTAAATAAAGTCAAAGTAAAACTTTCTAAGCTTTATAAACTTTAAGGTCTCGAAAACCTACATCATCAGACCTTTTTCTTCAATTTTTCCTTTCGAATAGGGAGTAGCTTCAGTAAGTATCAAATTCATTTTACAAAAAGTTTGTGGTGCTTTTTTAACTATCAACATCGTTAGTCACATTCATTTTTCGAGGAGGGAGTAGCTTAGGTGCCCGCCTAGACGTTTGGCACTGGGCGCCCCACAGCACTCAGTACTTTCTAAAAAACTGCTTACATGATGCCAACACATCCCCCTAACAAGAATAAATTGATACAGGAATTTGTAGATCTATTTATAAATACGTAAAAAAAATACAATTCAGTCCTCTTCTAATTGCAAAGGTATGTTTTCTGCTTATAACCAATATAATTGAAACTTTTTCGGTCTAAATCTTTCTGTTACAAAACAACAGAATTAAAAATAACAAAGAAATTTATGTTTGCTGCAATTTGCTGGTGTAAACCATTTTACTGGCTTCTAGTGGGAAAATGAAATTTTCAATTATTTACTTATTTCAGCTGCCTTCTATGACAGCCTGTATTCTTCTCTCGAAGATCACTTCCAAACATGGTTTTTAACTTCACAAAATAGCATTAAACAAGGAATAAATGTAGAAAATGAAAAAAGTTATTAACACTTACTTAAAAAGTTAGTAGATTTTTTAAACATAATTGTGGATGTAATCCAAATCATGTAATTAGCTAGCTGTTTCATAAATCTTCATTCAATTAAACAGGTGGCAATAGAAGTTCATATGGTTCTAACCTGATGTCCTTCAAACACTTTACATGGGAGATAATTCCCTATCTTGAAAACACATATCTTGCAGTCTACTGAGCATGTGGCGAAAGAGTTATTGTTTCTCCAATCAACATCGAGTGTTGGTGCTGTAGAAAAATTAAATGTGCTCACATTTCCTAGTTCCAGTATTGTTAGCAAGCAAATAAACATAAACATGTCTAGTTTAAGGTTTAACTTTATCAAAATGAGATACCATGATGACAATGATAGTGCTGCTTGCACTCCCATGTCCTAGTGTCCCACAAAATAGCCGATTTGTCAGAACTTCCAGTTAGGAGATGACTACCCCTCTTGTTCCACTTCAAAGAGAATATTAGTCCTTCATGCTTGATTAGAATACTCTTTAGCTCTCCTATTCAGTACAATCAAAACCATGATTAGACATAGAGCCAGGCATAGGAAATCAAATTTACAAATGCATGTGATATAATTGTGAAACATTATAATTGCAACTGCAATGCACTGTGTGGCTCGTATGGTAGTAAGTATAGCTGCAAGTTGTTTATTTAGTTGTAAATGAGGATGCAACGAGTAGCTCTCCCTTGTTTGATGAGTTGTAGGAACTTGTGATGCAAGAGGATTGTAAACACTAGGAAGTAGCTACTTGTGATGCAAAAGGATTGTAAATGGTTCGACAGCCAGCTTGACCATTTGCCTATTGTAAATTACAGCAACATGGAACACCAGAAGTGCATGAAGTGGTGCTGTGGAATCCAATTTACAACAAACCAAACAGCCCATGAGTCCTGGAGAGTTATTTCTATCAATAAACACAAATTTTCTAAATAAATATAACGATCAATACATGATTTTTATCAGTAACTCCAGAAATATGCAGTTGATTTCTGGGGTCTGACTTTCAAAAATGTTTGTGGAGAACACTAAACTTCTCAGAAACTGTCAATTTAATGGAACTACAAAATACAGTCAAGTTGAAGGAGCTAGGGTTTAGCATTCCATCTATGTGGACCATTTACCTAAAATGTAGTCAAATTGCAAGAGTCAGAAAGCAAGGAGGCCATCTGTAACCTACAAATAGAGTCAGTTTAGTTTAATGTGCTCATCTCCATAAACCTTGTCTCAGACGATTACGGAATGGTTTCTAATTTTCAGAACTTCCCCAACTCCAATTGTGTGAGACGTGACTTCAGAAACTTATCCTGAACACCAAACTTAGTATGCTATAATTTTAGAAATACTCGTGCACTTTAGATAACTAGGCTAAAGAAGTACTATGGAAATTCCTAAAAGCTCTCCCTATTAGGTTAAAATCAAGCCATGAACCTGATTATAGGATCCTAGCATATCCCATTGGAAAGCTTCCAGTCAAAACAAGCCAAAATGACTAAAGCTTGGCCTTGATGTAATTATTTGTCATATAAAGGTTAGTTAGGAAAAGCAAAATCTCAGACAAACAAAAGTGATAACAGAACAATATCAAAACCAACATGCAAAACTACATCACAACAGCAATCCGAAAAGTTTAATATCCTTGCTCCCTTGCTTCTAATATTTCAAAAGTATAATTAACACATTGTCAAGTTTACATTTTCTGGACTCTACTTTGATCCTTGAATCAGTCAGCTTTTTATTTTAAATTTATAATAATTTTTTTATCCTCTATGCTTATTAAGGAATTTAGAAGATCCCACAAAATTTAAAATCTTGTACATCTTAAATGAACAAGATCAATTTAAGACTGATGAATAAGCGAAGAAAACACATTCCTGGATGTACTATAATCTGGAATCAGAAATAGGGATTGATGCCGCCATGCACCATAACTGTAAAGTTCCTGTGTATCCTCCATAATCATCTACAATTATTTAGTGGAAAGAGATGAAATTCATGAGAACTTAAGAGTTGCTTGTGCACTCTTAGAGTGAAGCTATGCACCCAAACAACAGAAGCTATGTGCCATACAAGTGTACAGAAGAAAAAAAATCTCAAACAGGAGCAGAAAAGATACCTCTCCATCAATAGTAGTTAGAATTTAGAAATATAATATTAATTAGTAATATTGCTTACACTAGCAGTAAAGTAGTCAAGTCACTGATGGGCTTAAAATGATTGACCACAACAATGTCTATCGTCATGCGGAACACCTCCTCACCCATTTAATTATATCAACATGCCGAAGAAAATAGCATGAGAATGAAATTTGGGAATATAAAAAAACTATCAATGAGAAGTATAGAGTATACTCATTTTAAAAGAGCTTACCATCTTTGCTCCATATTCTAGTCTGACCATCGTAATAACCTGTAGCTAGCAGTGACCCTGCACCCTGCAAATAGTAGAAGGCACATAAACTGATTTCCGGTATTATTTATATAAACATATCTGTAATCAGACTTCAAATAGGCTAATAATTCCAAAAGTCTATTGGAAAGTACACAAGTATGTGATGGAAAAACAAATTTAATAGGGAATAATGGAATGCTACAAAAGCAATTATTGATCAAAAATAGGAGAAAACATTACATTCCAAGCAAGTGCTGTCACGTCCTTGGTAGTCTCAGGACTTCCCTCAAAACATGTTAAAACCTTTGGACAAAGAGCAAGATTTTGCCTGCTAGAACCGCAAGGGCCGTCTGGAATTGTCCAAATTTGAGCTGTTGAGTCGTCAGACCTAACAACAGAGGTTGGATCAAGAACATATAGCAATCATCCATGCCAACTTCCAGACAGATCATATTCACCGTGGAGCCATCCAAAATGGAATGATAAAATTTTCCACCCCAGGGTTGAAACAACTGATAACAAGTATGTTTAAAAAGGAAACATAAATAATCACATTAGAAAATGAATGAATCAGAAAAGCTGTCAAAGAAATCTAGGAGATCAAAAATCTACTATATTGCATGAAAATGTTAGGAGTTCAGAATGTAGTACCCTTGCAACCAAGAACTTGTGACAAATCTAAGAGATCTACTAAAGACAGTCACTCCCACAACCATTCTCTAAAATCAAACAGTAAATTCAGATGCAAAATAATAAAGAAAATATTCTCACCCAGATGCCAGAAGTGAATTAGTTGGGCTCCATGCGCAACAAGAAACCTAAAGACAGTAAATGAACACATAGAGGTATCTGGATCAGAAGTTCATCCAAAAACATAATGAGATTTTAAGATGTTAGGAGGGGAAAAGGGGAAATCAAAGTACAAACCGAAGAGCTATGTCCTTCAACAATAACCACATCAGAACTAGGAATCTCACAGGGCACAGATTGAGCATTTGGTGTGATATCCATTGGTTTCCCTATTAAGAATTTTGAACAGTATAACTTCCAAAAATAAAATATAGAAAAAGTTGCACATTAAAAATAATATCAGAAGAGCAACATGGAAAAAATAAGCTATAAGTGACAGCTCAGGCCAACAGAGAATGTATTTACAAATATAAGGTAATTCTTGAAAAATAAAATATATGCAATTTCCTTATACTTGCACTGGACATTAATCAGCTCTCTAAGCAGCATTACATATTATCAACTATCAAAAGCACATAAGTAATGAGTGTCACCTTTTAATAGAGAAGCTTTGGGATGTAAAAGATGAATCAACCTTGCAAAAATGGAGCACAGCTTCTGAGGCCTAAGTGTCTAGACAGATTTCATTGGAATATAATGCTCATCTCCGGAGATGTTTGTGCACAAGATACAAGTTAAATCAAGCTGAAGTCAGCAGCCGTAATAAAGGGTTGATGCAGGATACATTGAGATGTGATTTAACATCATATATTGGAAGAAACTTAATATAATCAGCATTGTCCAATAACAAATATATGATATGAGCAAGCCATGAATAAATTTAGGAACTCACAGCTCTTATGTAGTTCAATCTTTATTCCAGGATACAAATAAGATGAAAGTCAAGAAGAACAAAAGGTGGCTGAATAAATATATTCATCCTAGATAAAGGAGCATTATCTTAGCCCTTATCTTTGAAAACTTTCCATACAAGGAAAGACGGAAAGTTATGAAGACAATGTTGCTAACAAAATGAAGTACAGTTCTCTGCCAATAGCTAGTTATCCCACAGTATTTTCTAATCATGTGATTCTCTAACTTCACCGTGAAAGACATGAATAATAGTGTCTAGTTTTCCTATGATGATACTGACAATTTTACTGAGAATGAATTTATGCTTTTGAAAGAATAATCAGGCTGTGTTTTTCCTATGATTTCAAGTTCTTTAAGAGGAAATGACGTATCAATCGAGTTGGAAGAATATGGTGCTGAATTTGAGCTTAAATTAATACCAGCCCATTAAATAAATAGGTTAAAAGGGTCAGATCCAAGTTTCACAAGCATAGCTGGCTCAGTCTGGGATTTGATTCACAAGTTCAATCCATTTATTAATGGGTTGAGTTTTTTTTAAATCATAATCTGGTCAGATCCCAAACCAACTTATCCGCCACCGTAACAAAAGAGGACTTGGTCAGACTGGGATCTGATTTACAAGTTTGATCCATTTATTAATATGTTGGGTTTGTTTAATCGTAATCTGGTCAGATCCCAATCTAACTCATCTGCGACCATTACAAAAGAGGACTTGGAAATAAATCAAAACTACGAGACATAAGGTAAATGTTGGTCAACAATGGAGGCATCGATTTTTTGAGTCAAAAATGGAGGCACCGTTTCTTGTGTCAAAAATGGAGGCTTCGTCTGCCTTTCGTTGGACGAAAATTTTGACAAAATGGAGCCGTTGTTTGTTGACAATTAGTGGATATAGAGCCTATAAAAACCTGCTGCACCTCTCCTCTCAGAGCATCAATCCTCCGAAGCAATCCTTGACAGAGCCACTTGAGTGAGAGCAAAACAAAAGAGAGAGTGCTAAAATTTTGTATGTGTGTTGTATTTGAGAGATTGAATATAGTGAAAGCCCCCTCTTGCCGTGGACGTAGATCAATTTGATCGAACCACGTAAATATTGTGTTTGTGATTGTCTCTCTATTCTCTGATTTAGTGGGTCATTTTCCCAACAACTGGTATCAGAGCTTCTCGGTTGTAGGACAGCTTTCAATCCTCTATAATGGCTTCCGTAAAGTTCTCGGTGTCGATCTTTGATGGCCAAAACAATTTCGGCCTATGGAGGATAAAGATGAAGGCTTTGTTGCGACGTGAAGGCACGGTTAAAGCTATCGATGGGAAATACCCAGAAGATATGACTAGTGCCGAGATCGAAGAGATGGACGAAAAGGCTCACAGCGCCTTGCAATTGTCACTATCAAAATTATCATGGATATGAAAAACCTGGATTTAAAACTTGATGATGAAGACCAGGCTCTCATTGTGTTATGTTCCTTGCCTGACTCTTATGAAAACTTTGTTAACTCTATGTTGTATGGAAGAGAATCCATAAGTCTTGAGGATGTGAAGGCCTCTTTGAATTCTGCTGAGTTAAGAACAAAGTTGAATGGGAGAGGTACCGATAGGCAGGCTGACGGTCTGCTAGCCAGAGGTAGAATGAAGACCAGAGAGGGTGATAAAGGGCAATCCAGAAATCGTTCGAAGTCCAGATCAGCCCAAAACAAGAAACATGTGGAGTGTTTTTACTGTCACAAGAAAGGGCATTACAAGTCAGAATGTTATGCTCTAAAGAAGAAAGACAACCAACGTGGTGAAACCTCAGATTCAGCTAATACGGCAAAGACTGATACTGTCGTTGTTGCTGAGACGGTTCTTACAGTATGTCCCTTGGATGACCGTTCCGATAAAGAATGGATCTTGGATACAGGTGCGTCTTTTCATATGTGTCCAAATAAAGATTGGTTCACTACTTACAGATCTATAAGTGGTGGATCAGTTTTGATGGGTAACAATGCAGTTTGCAAGACAGTTGGTATTGGTACAGTTCGCATCCGGTGTCACGATGGGATAGTGAGAACTTTATCAGATGTGAGACACATCCCAGACTTAAAGAAAAATTTGATTTCTTTGAATTCTTTGGATTCTGTTGGATGTTCTTACACTGGTGGAGGTGGAGCTCTTAGAGTTACTAAGGGTTCATTGCTTGTGATAAAAGGTAGTAAGGTGAACAGTCTTTATGTTCTCCAAGGCAGTACGGTGACAGGCTCTACAGGTGTGTCTTCTGATACTGATAGGGACACTACTCAGTTGTGGCACATACGCTTAGGCCACATGAGTGAGAAGGGGATGACTATTTTGAGTAAACGTGACTACTCTGTGGTGATCATACATCATCACTGGATTTCTGTGAGCATTGTGTGTTTGGGAAGCAAACTCGGGTCAGCTTCTTGACTGGCTCACATACGACGAATGGCACTCTCGACTACATCCATTTAGATTTGTGGGGACCCACTTAGGTTCCATCCAAAGGTGGTGCTCTTCAGCCATTGAACACAAGACTCCAAATGAGGTATGGTCAGGTAAACCAAATGACTATTCAAATTTAAAGGTATTTGGATGTCCCGCTTACTATCATGTTAGAGAGGGTAAGCTTGAGCCTAGAGCTAAGAAATGCATATTTATTGGTTATGTTGATGGCGTTAAAGGCTATCGTTTGTGGAGTCTTGAACCTGATTCTCCTAAATTCATTATTAGTAGAGATGTTACTTTTAATGAAAGATATATGCTTGATCATGGGAAGATTTCTGTTGAGTCTATAGAAAATGTAGAGAAGACCATAGATAAGGTGGAGCTTCAGGTGGAGCTCGAGGGAGAGACGTCTCAAAAGTCGTCTATAAAATTTGCTCCTAGAAGAGCAACATGATTCAGGCTCAGATGCTGATGATGCTGAGACTGAAGAACCTTATTCCATAGCCACTGACAGAGAGAGAAGACAGATCAAACCTCCTCAAAGATATGCACATGCTGAATTAGTGGCGTATGCTCTCACGACAGCTGAAGAGATGAGTATTCAAGAGCCATCAAACTTTACTGAAGCTGTCTCATGCGGAGAATCTGGACGTTGGGCCACAGCTATGACAGAAGAACTCGAGTCACTCTACAAGAATCAAACTTGGGATTTGGTGCAATTACCTTAGGGTAAAAGGGCAATTGGATGCAAGTGGATTTTCAAGAAGAAAGAAGGGATCCCAGGGGTTGAAGATGCTAGATTCAAAGCACGGTTGGTGGCTAAGGGTTATAGACAAAAAGAGGGAATTGACTATGATGAAGTGTTCTCTCCGGTTGTAAAACATACCTACATCCGTGTATTGCTTGTCATGGTTGCTCTATTTGATCTGGAGCTTGAGCAGCTTGATATGAAGACTGCATTCTTGCATGGCGAACTTGAGGAGACTATCTACATGTCTCAGCCAGAGGGATACATCGTAGAAGGTAAAGAAGATCAAGTTTGCAGATTGAAGAAATCTTTGTACGGCCTGAAGCAATCTCCCAGACAGTGATACAAGAGGTTTGATAATTTTATGCTTAGTCATGGGTACTAAGAAGTACTTATGATAGTTGTGTGTACTACATGCATCTAGGAGATGATTCTTTTATTTATCTTCTATTATATGTCGATGACATGCTTATTGCTGCTAAGAACATATCGCAGATTCTTATTTTGAAGAAACAACTCAGTGATGAGTTTAAGATGAAAGATCTTGGTGCAGCAAAGAAGATCTTAGGTATGGAGATCAGGAGAGACAGGAAAGCTGGAACATTATATCTCTCACAGAAGAGCTATATTGAAAATGTACTTGAACGCTTTGGGATGAAGAAGGCCAAGCCCGTTACGACTCCTTTGGCTCCTCACTTTAGGCTCTCGGCTTCAGATTCACCTACAAGTGAGAACGAGAAGAAGGAGATGTCCCGAGTTCCATACTCTAATGCAGTGGGTAGCATTATATATGCTATGATTTGTACTCGTCCAGACATTGCCCAGACAGTCAGTGTAGTGAGCAGATACATGGCTCAACCAGGGAAGGCACACTGGGAGGCAGTGAAGTGGATCCTTCGGTATCTCAAGGGTACCTCAGATTTGGGTTTAGTTTTTAATAGCAATACTTTGGGAACCTCTGTTGTAGGTTTTGTGGATTCTGACTATGCAAGTGATCTCGATAAAAGGAGATCTTTGACTGGTTATCTTTTTACTTTTTCTGGCTCAGCTATTAGTTGGAGATCGACTCTACAGTCGACAGTTGTTTTGTCTACTACAGAGGCAGAATACATGGCAGCAGCAGAAGCAGTAAAAGAGGCCATTTGGTTGAGAAATCTCGTGAGGGAGCTTGGACTACAGCAGGAGGCTAGTTCAGTTGTATTTTGCGACAATCAGAGCGCAATACATCTAAGCAAAAACTCAGCACATCATGAGAGGACAAAGCATATTGATGTCAGATATCATTTCATTCGTGAGGCAACTGCTGAAAGAAACATCACGATGAAGAAGATTGGTACTGCAGACAACCCAGCTGACATGTTGACCAAACCGATCCCGGTCTTCAAGTTCAAGCACTGCTTGAATTTGGGAGGCATTCGCAGTTGTTAGCCAGCCCCGTTTGGGGCATTGTTTGCAAGAGGGGGTCGAGTTTCACTTGTTCTATTATGAAGTGTACTCTCACGTTTAGTTTGGTTGGTGTCGGCTCAGTTTTTTGGAAAACTTCACCGAGGTGGAGATTGTTGGTCAACAATGGAGGCACCGATTTTTTGAGTCAAAAATGGAGGCACGGTTTCTTGTGTCAAAAATGGAGGCTTCGTCTACCTTTCGTTGGACGAAAATTTTGACAAAATGGAGCCGTTGTTTGTTGACAATTAGTGGATATAGAGCCTATAAAAACCTGCTGCACCTCTCCTCTCAGAGCATCAATCCTCCGAAGCAATCCTTGACAGAGCCACTTGAGTGAGAGCAAAACAAAAGAGAGAGTGCTAAAATTTTGTATGTGTGTTGTATTTGAGAGATTGAATATAGTGAAAGCCCCCTCTTGCCGTGGACGTAGATCAATTTGATCGAACCACGTAAATATTGTGTTTGTGATTGTCTCTCTATTCTCTGGTTTAGTGGGTCATTTTCCCAACAGTAAACTATCCAAAGCACCTAAGCAACATAAAGACGTCGGCCAAGGTAACTGATCATAATCTTTCAATGAAAGCACTATGGAATTAAGGATTTTGGTTTCCAGCAAGAAATCAATATCAACCATGGTTAGACCCTATTTAGTATGCATAAGATTGTCCAACAATAAACCAAGAAATGTACACCGATAAGCAATTCAAATTACATAAAGTGGAAGTTTCCAACTCTAGTTCTCACTAAATAATAAGCATTTCATGAACCACATATTGCTCCAGTAAACACATGCTTCTTGGAAATTTTACAGATTTTGTAGATCAAACCCGCATGGTTTATAAACATCCATAACAAGAGAAGCAACTAAACATCACAGAATTTAAAAATTAATAAAATATATGCATGATTTATAGCTATCTAGAAATTAATAATATCCTCTGTCCATACATGTATAATTATTTTTGAAACCAGATTGTCGAAAAGCAGGTTTCTGGCTTGACTCTAAAAGCAGGTGTCCTCAAACCACATAGTTCGATGAAGAAATTAGGTTTGAAGATGAAGAAAAATATGAAGAAAGTCTTAGATAACTTTACCAGCACAAACACCATGCTGTTTGGTTTTCATCTTCATCTTCCCTTTGGGAGCTTCAGCATTAGCTTTATCTTTGCCCTGCACAGATTTCTTATCCTTTTTATGCTCTCTTACCAGCTCTTTATCCTCTTCAACCTTGTCTTCCCCACTATCTTGTTCTTTATCACTTTCCAGTCTTCCTCTATCCTTTCCATCTGCACAAACTTTCTCCGAATGTTTTATGATTCTTTGTAATCCATCCACATCTTTTGTAATAATATCCGAAGGTTGTAGAAGTGAAAAGTCCACGCATGAATTCTTAGCCTAGGAAATTTAAACAATTATTAAATAAGCACACATTATGCTCAATCTACAGTACACACTACATAAATTTTCTTGCAGAACCCAAAGTTAAGAAGTTAGTTTATGACTGGTTAGGGTACAGCTATGAAGCATGGTGTAGAACTTACACCATCAACTTATATTAGAGAGATATACTGACAGACACATATACACTTACACTGTCCAAGTTTGCTTGCATCTCTTTGTACTGAAGACCTTTCTGTACCAAAGTAACAAGATGACCTGGCGGAATTAAATTTTCATCAATAGAACTTTTGCAAACTCCTGTCTCTTTTTCAAAGGCAAATGCTGCATGTTTAAAACCTGAAAGAAGTACATGGAGGGATGTTAGCAATTAATTGCTGTATGAAGCCAACATCATGAGCAAGAAATTCCAATAATGATAAAAATGAAACATTGAAACTCAACAAATACACAAAACTAAGTATTATAGGAACCGACCATAAAAAACACTAACTCTTCATTTCTAAAATCTTAAATTTATTTAAGGTTGACAAATGTAAAGCATATTGATAATCTCAATACATCCTTAGATTCATCAATAATTTCAATACATACTTAGATTCATTAATAGTTTCAATATATCCTACATTTCCAAAACATAAGTAGTACTCATAGTTTTTTTATGAAGTGCGTTGTGACCCTTAGAAATTTCAAACTTTGAAACTTTTTTAACCATTGTACAGATATGTTCCGTCTATAAATAGACTTCTTGTTCCATCTTTTCTATGAAATGAATTTAAACCAGAATTATTAAGTGTTTCATGTTGTCTAACCAGTGATTCTAGGAGTAGACTGGATTTTCAAGATCTGCTAAAATCGCAATATGAATTCTATCTTATACCATTACTTCTGCTCGTAAATCCATTTATCTATCTACATTAATAGACATTATTTATATTTCAGTTTGATGCATAATAAATTTATTTGTTGGGTTTAATAATTGAGATCTTATTTGTTCCTATTCATCCAGAAAGTAAGATGAAAATTGTTTGTTTTTATTGATTTAAGATTTTAAATTTTTAATGTCTGAGGAAGAATTCGAATTGCCATTTACACTAAGCCTGAATTTGAGGAGTTTCTATGTTTTAGATCTTACGTGAGATAGATGGTCACATTTTGAGCCATCAATAAACAAAGCTTGTAGATGAAATACAGGATACAAGTGACTTCAAGACGAAGATACTGAATTTACCCCCCACCAACACACACACAAAAAAAACAAACGAAAGAAAATAAGGGTTTGAACTCTACCTTGTGTGTATCAAGTCATGGTGTACAATCCAGACACCCAAAATTGACAATCCAAAAATTAAGTGATGAACACCAGCAACTAATTGGTTTAGTGAGATCCTTTTATGTACTCAGCACTAGCTTCACCTTTTAAAAAAAATTTAAAATTTTGAGACTGACGATGTGATCTTTTAAGCCTGATGATCAACTTTTATTTTTCAATCTAACGAGAAGTATATGTGTATATCTCCTGTGCCAATATGCACATAGAAAAAATATGCATGGCTATCAAAATAAATGCTAGAGAGTACTTCCAAGTGTATCATAACTAAAACATTTGTGTCCTAAACAGTCTAATCTAGAGTAGTATATTCATATTGTGTTATTATTCAAGTAGTGAATATTGTACTTTTACCTGTATCAACAACAAAAATCTTACAAAATTCTTATGTTTCCTGGAGAACGAGTATTGTATATGATAAAAGCACACCCACCTTTCACTGTTGAACCTTTTTGTTAACCTCCACAGATTTCGTAGTCAGTACAATGGGTTGATACGCCTCCAAACAATAAGGAAATTCAAAATCCAAGAGCAAATTTGGATTCAAACTTAACAGAGACAATCTCAATGTTAAGTAACAATAGGATTTCTTGATCTAGAAATCCAATCAAGAAACGCTGTGAGAGATTCATTCTTTGAATTCATCAGAAACCAAAATTATCTTGCTACTTATTTTTCCCCCTTTCATCAGTATTTTTAAAGAAATATTGCAAGAAAATAAGGTATTCTCAAGATGACCAATCTGATCAAAAATCAATACTTAAGCAGGCATCAACATGTACACTCATCTACAGAAACCCGACACAATTTGTTTAAAACCATTTGCACAAGAATGTCTCTTGATATAAAATGTCTTGTTACGAAAGAAAATTGAGCAAGAAATTTCCCTAAAGACAAGTTGATGGCTTCTCTGATCACACTTTCACAACGAGCATCTTTTTTTTTCCAAGAAAGCCCGGTCCCCCCCCGAAAAAAAAAGTAAAATAAAAAAATACCAATCAAATTTTCCCAGACATCCGTAAAAGTTCTCACTGATTCAAAACTAGGGACCTAGATTACATATACTCAAAACCCTAGTATCAAGAAACCCTAGAAAACAACAAATCTTTGAAGGGGTGACATTTCTCAAGAACATCACTTGCACAATCACATCTCAAGGACATAGCAAACGAAAAATTCTCAGACATCCGTAAAAGAATTCACTGATTCACTAAAAGCCTAAAGGAACCTAAACCCTAGAAATCGAAAGAAAAACAAGAGATCTTTGAAGAGAAAATGGACCTGATTCTTGGAAGTAGCGGAAGATGAGGAGATTGAGCTCGTCGGAGGTAAGAACCGAGGGCGTCGTCTCCTCCATTGTATCACTTGCTCGATCACCAAAAACGAGAAAAATGATCGATCAATTCGCTCAGAGTTGGTAAAAGAAAGAAATAAGAACGGAGCTTTTGCTTTGCTGAGAGCGAGAGCGAGCGAACTTATTTTTGTTTTTGATTTCAAGAGAGTTTCCGCTGCTTTGTTTTCGGATTCTTGCGGGTTATATAGTCTTGTTTTTAGAACCGGTTCAAGTCCACATCGGCCCAAATACAGCTATACCAGGGCCATGGATATGGGCCTTTCCAATAAAGATCGGAAACTTGAATCTGGGTTTTTCTATCTCGATGTTTTCATCTTAGTACTCCACATCATTGAAATTGCTATTAGACCTTCGGTTCTCATAAGATGTCTCAAATTGGTCCCTCAAATCCTCGAAATTGCTATTAGGTTTCCCTAATTGTATGAGTTATTTTAAATTGATCCTCTAATTAAGAATAGCATTGTCAAGATATAATGGTTGAGGATCTAATAGCAATTGTGATGATTTGAGCAACTAATTTTCTAAATATTATATGCAAGGGACTGATATTGAAAAACCCTTTAATCTTAGAATCACTAGTAAAGCTGGTTTAATTGGTTGGCAGTAAATAAAATGACAATAACAGAAATGGATGGATTTCCATTTTTGTTACGAGAAAAATAAATAAATAATATCAGGCTTTGTGAAAAAGTACGAGTGTTACGCCTATGCTTGCACGGATGGTGCATCGAACGAGAGTTAATGTACAAATCCATGGAACCTTAATCAAGTCTATGCACAAAAAGAAGTCTGTGAGGATCACTAGGAACAATGTAATTTTTTTTTTTTTTTTACGAAATTATTTTAAAGATGTTGAATTCAGTTTTTAACTGTAGGCTTGAATAGCTTTTTTAAGAGGGGAAAACAGGAGTTGAAAAGCTTATAATGCTAACCATCCCCATCTATATCTTTTAGCTGGTGAGGAGAGAATTGGGATGGCAAAAAAACGCAAATTTCCTCACTGCCTCACCTTCTAGTGAGGGAGATATAAAATAGCCATATAGTTCTCATTCCCTTCTCCAAACTCTACTCTAGGGTTAAGTGAGGGGTTAAGGAGACTTAACCCCTTCTTAACCCGTCAAACATAAAAAATCTATACAAGGGTTAAAGTTAGTTAACCCTCCATAATTTGCAAAACATAAAAAATATAAAAGGGTTAATCTAAGCTAACCCCTCTAGAGGGATTAAAATGAGTTAACCCCTCATTTTACTAATACTCCTATTTAGAAGGATTAATAGTTAACCTTTCTAATTATAAAGAAAATGGTCAAAATCATTGTTATTCCCAAACACTAAAACTGATCACAAGAACTAAAATAAAACTTATTTAACGAGTTAATAATTTAATCTTTCAGATTATCGAATGGGCTAAGTACATTAATCCTTCTTTTTAAGTACCCCTCTTCCTTAACCCTTTGTCAAATGGAGCCTAAGCGAACATGGATTGCAATTCATCATCTCTTTTCCTACTTACCTATTCAAGTACAAGTAGTTTTTTATACACATTCTTTCCCTTTCCGCTCCCTCCACTTGTATTTACGTCAATCGGAACACGTTGCAAAATACTAGTTGGAGATGGCATGCATCCACGGTATCTCATTAAAATTATTCGAATGCAACAAATAACACTCTACGTGGGATCTATGAATTTAACAAACATAGAGGTAGAAGAAGTAGAGACTAGAGATGAAGGAACAAATAAAAGTAATTATCCCTAGGTCTTAACTAACTGCCATGAGCGATTTTAGATCAGCAACCATCACGTGCCGGCTTTGTGTAAGCCGCTAATTTTTTAATTTTCTTTATATACGAAGGAGGGAAACTGTATTTTCCATGTTGTTAAAGGACCCCGTCACTGAAAAGAACACCAAAGTTGGTGCGCGGTAAAAAAAATCATAATTTTCTATTGCACAAAAAAATCATATACGAAGGAGGGAAACTGTATTTTCCATGTTGTTAAAGAGACTCGTTAATGTTGATTGATTTATGTATGTAGTTCTTATCGTATTACCAGAAACAATAAATGTTTCCTCTGGCATTTGTATCTTTTTATGCTGGCTTAAATGGCTTAAAATGATATCTAAGTCAGAGTCAATTTTTAGGTCATTTAGACTTACTGTTCGACATGGTATTACATTTTCAAGTTGTACTTCGAAAAGGCTAATTACTTCTCTAGATTTTTTTTACCAAAGAAGGTCGATTGATGTCTGGCTGAGTGCTATTACAGATTCCCACTGTATTCCTAACACTTGGCTTTCAGGTTTCATCTCAATTCCTCTGATATTAATACTTGATTTTGTCGCATCAAATATGTGAGGGTCATGAAAAGCAACAGAATAATTTAGGTGAATATTGACCCTAAGAATTCTATTGGCTAAAATGGATTTACATCCTCCTATTAACGCATCTAATGAATAGAAATTATTCTTTCATCCATACGAAGTAACATAATCGGAGTATTAACATCAGACTTAAATTGTCCGGTGATTTTAGCTTGGATAAGTCCAAGATGAAGATGGCTAATTCATTACATGTTCACTCATTGCCAGCCATGAAAATCCTGCACCGCTCAAGATAGAAGAAAGACCAATAAACCATCTTAAGAAAGAGCAATAAAGTATCTTATCTCTTAGAATCTAAGTATTTCGATATGGATAAATTTTTAAAAAGGCTTTTTGAAATTTTATCAGTAAAATTGATCTTTTAATTAGCAAGATCGACCATTTTTTGGCCATGTCATCACGGCGGGCCATAAAGTGCTCGATTTTGCAAAATAGAGATTTAAAAAAAAAACATGAGACTACTAATCACGTGTAATTAATCTGATTCTTTTAAAATACACGGGACTATTAATCAGATTAGCCCTTATTTAGTAGTCACTAACGACACGTGATTAGTAGTCATGTCTTTAAAAGTCTATTTTTTGTAGAATTAAGCACTTTTTGGCCAACCATGATAATGTAACTGTTTGTGGGAAAAATTTGCAGTAAAAGAAACGAAAGAAAATTTGATTTGTAATCCTTTAATCTCCGTTACAATTAGATTTCCTGATTACAAAAGAGAGGAGAATGAATTTGATTCTCCCCTTTGTTTAAAACTGGGTTCTTCACGGTGGCGATGGAGTGCCTCCCTCGAATACTCGCGTCGAGTTTGCTCTCCGTTGACGATCCGAATATCTTGATTCACTGGAACAATATCTTCTCCTCACGATTTGACGTTGTGGAGAACTTGCGTGGCAAGTTTGAAACTCTGGACGAGTTGGAAACTCTTGGAAAAGAGTTGATTTGAACCGATGATCGGTTCTCAAGCCAAGGCTGAAGGCTTCAAGGAATGCTCCAAAGGATGAATGCCGATCTCTCAATCTATGATGCTCCAAGATCTCCCCCTTTGCTGCCAAGTCCCAGATCCAAAAAGCCAGCCTGAAAAAGACTTGAACTCCGGACCAAAGAAGCCAACCTTGAACTCAGTTGAGTTTACTCGCTTTTATAGGGGATTAAAGGGGTGTAACCGCCCCCTTAAATCACTCCTAAGTGGGGTGTAACCGCCTACAAATCATGGGAACCGGTTTTGGAACCGTTCAGCTCATGCTTTGAACGAGTCAAACGTCCACGTTGGCGTTCAGGACCCTAACTCCGCATTTTAGACTGGAGACGCGGAGTTGGGTACCCGCTGGGCATTGAAAAACGCGGGTCCGACCCCAGCGTTTTGATGTTGTAATGCGGGTCCTACTCCAGCGTTTTGATGTTGTAACGCGGGTTCGACCCTCGCGTTTTGATGTTGTAACGTGGGTTCGACCCTCGCGTTTTACTGTTGACACACGGGGAGGACCTCCGCGTTTTGGTGTTGATACACGGGGAGCACCTCCGCGTTTTGGTCTTAGAGCGCGGTGATGAGTTTCGCGTCTTGCTTTGGAGAGATTATCAACAAGTAATCTCTTTTGTCATAGCGTTGCAAAGATCATTGTCTTGTAATCTTCGTCTTGGCTCCTTGAGAATATGAGAGTCGTCAGATTGTAACTCCCGATGTTGATTGTGAATGCTGTTGAACTAGAACTCTCATCGGTTGTCGTGAAGGTCGTCAGATTGTAACCTTCAGCGATATACGTGAAAGTCTTCAAATTGTAGCTTTCTGGAAGTCGTTAGATTGTAACTTCCATCATCGGTGTTTGATGGGGGATAAGCTATCTATTGTGATTTTTAGACAGCCTACAGTAACCAATAAATGGTCAGTTTTCTTAATGAAAGCAAAAAAAAAGATCGATTTTGCCAATAAAACTTTAAATACGTTACTTAGTTTCCTATTCTTTTGGGAATTGGAACAAAAAGTAAGAAAATGACATTATAGGATTTCAATAATTTCGTTTGGCTCAAAAAAAATTTGAGAAATGTTTTCCATAAAGCAAGAAAAGTACACAAATTTTTGGGTTATCCAGATCCTTAGTTTTGCATGGGAAATGGGCAAAAAAAACTCAAGAAAAGACTCTACGATGAGATGTTTCCTATTCTTTGCAAATAAGACAAACAAAATTTTGGATATGATTTCATATTCTTTACTATATTATTACAAAACAAACACATGTTTAAGTTTCTCAAGATATCTAAAAAATTATGACATTTAGTTTTTTGAGAGGGAATTCATTTCCGTAAATTTTAGGAAATGAACCAAACACGCCCTTAACCGCACCCACAGTGTATGTGCGGCTGAGAAGCAATATTTAGTTGCTGCTGGTGATCAACAACAGCAAACCGCCGCCGCTGCTTGGTAACCCAAAATTGATGATTTGGGGAATAAATATACAATATGAAGAATTGGAAGGTAAGTAGGCAAATTACTCCTTTTAGAATTCACTTCAAATTTGTAGCCAATAAGATTTAAATCTGAATTGCTTCGATACCATGAGAATGCGAAATAGCGTTCATGATCAACAGTGGTCAACTCGAATCCCAATGTGGTGAGGTCTCAAAGAGCCTCCGCTTCAGAAGATATCGAAAACGCCCTTCCATCACACATATAACTACAAAAGTTGCGGTAATAATAGAGGGTCATAGCTTTATATTCTAATAACAAAAAAGTACATGCATTCAGAATAATGAATTTAGGG